ATTGGTATTTTGATAAAGATTGTATTGAATCTGTAGATAGCATTAGCTAATATGGGCAATTTAAACAACATTAATTCTACCAATCCATGAACATAAAATATATTTCCACTTTTTTGTGTCATTTTCAATTTCTTTCATCAATGTTTTATAGTTTTCAGTGTAGAGACCTTCTACTTCTTTGGTTAAGTTTATTCCTAGGTATCTTATTATTATTTTTAGCAATTGTAAATGTGATTGCTTTCTTGATTTCTTTTTCTTTCAGAGAGTTCACTATTCACATTTAAAAATACTGTTAATATTTGTTTATTGATTTTGTATCCTGCAACTTTACTGAATTCATTTATTAGCTCTAACAGTTCCCCCCACTGCTTGGTGGAGTTTTTATAGTTTTCCATATGTAGGATCATGTCATCTGCAAACACAGACTATTTGACTTCCTCCTTTCCAATTTTGATGCGTTTTCTTTTGTCTCTTGCCTACTTGCTCAGGCTAATACTTTCAGTGTTATGTTGAATAGAAGTGGTAAAAGTGGACACTCTTGTCTGATTCCAGATCTTAAAGGAAAAGCTTTCAACTTTTCCCTGTTTAGTATGATGTTAACTGGGCTTGTCATATGCAACTTTTAATATATTGAGGTATATATCTTCTATATCTAATTTGTTGAAATTTTTATCGGAAACTGATGTTGAATTTTGTCAAATGCTTTTCCTGCATCTATTGAAATGATCAGGTGGCTTTTGTCCTTCTTTCTATTATTGTGATGTATTGCATTTATGGATTTGCAAATGTTAAACCATACTTGCATTCCTGGACTGAATCTCACTTGATCATATTTGCATTTATATCCATCAAGAATATTGGTCTGTAGTTTTCTCTCTCTCCCTCTCTTTTCTTTTTTGTGCTTTTTTTGGTTGTTGCTGAGTCCTCTTATTTTGGTATCAGGACAACCTAGGACTTCTACGATGAGCTTGGAAGTATTCCCTCTTCTTTGATTTTCTGGAATAGTTTGAGAAGAGTTGGTATGTTACTCTTTAAATGTCTGGTAGAATTCAATGATGAAGCCATTAGGTCCTAATCTTTTCTTTGATGTAACTTCATATTACTGATTTAATTTCCTCACTCATTATTAGTCTGTTGAGATTTTCTATTTCTTCCTAAGTCAATCTCGGTATGTTGCATATGTCCATGAATTTATCTATTTCTTTTACTCTGTCAAATTTGATAGTATATTTAGTTGTTTATAATATTATTTCATGGTCCTTTGTACTTCTATGCATTAACTGTTGTGTCTCCTTTTTCATCTCTGATTTTATTTATTGGAGTGTTCTCTCTTGTTTTTTCTTAGTCTAAGTAAAGGCTTTTAAATTTTATCTCATCAAAACACCAACTATTTGCTTCGTTGATCTTTTGTATATTTTTCTAGTTTATATTTTATTTCTGCTTTGATTTTCTTCTTTTTCTTTTTCTTTAGAGATGGGGGTCTCATTCTGTTACCCAGGCTGGAATGCAGCAGTGCAATCATAGCTCACTGTAGATTTGAACTTTTGGGCTCAAGTGTTCCCATCCACCTCAGCTTCCCAATAGTTAGAACTATAGGGGCACAGAACCATGCCTTGATAAATTTTTTATTTTTGTAGAGACTGAGTCTTACCTGTTTTGAGATTCATTCATTATTCCCTTCCTTCTACCCATTTTTTGTTTAGTTTATTCTTGTTTTTCTAGTTCCTTGAGGTGCAACATTAGGTTATTTATCAGAAATCTTTTATCTTTTTTGATGTAGATGTTTGTTGCTATACGGTTCTCTTTAGAACTGCTTTTATTTTTGTATCACATAGGTTTTAGTATGTGGTGTTTTCCTTCTTGTTTCTCTTCAATTTTTTAAATTTCTCTTTTAATTTCTTCAATGATATATTGGTCATTCAAAAACATGTTGCTTAATTTCCATGTATTTGTAAAGTTTCTGAAGTTCCTCCTGTTACTGATTTGTAGTTTAATATCATTGTGGTCAGAAAAGGTACTTGACATGATCTCTAACTTCTTAAATTTGTTAAGACTTGTTTTGTCACATATAATCTATCTTGGAGAATGTTCCATATGCAGTTGAGAAGAATTGTGTATTCTGAAGCTGCTGGATAGAATGTTTTGTAAATGTCTGTTAGGTTTAATTTGTCTAGGGTGCACTTTAAGTCCAATGCTTCTTTGTTCTTTTCTGTCTAGATGATGATTCCATTGTTGAAAGCAGGTTGCTGAAGTCCCCTAATTTCGTTGCATTGCAGCTGTTCTCTCTTTTTAGATTTGATGATATTTGCTTTATATATTTGAGTGCTCCTGTGTTGGGCATATATACATTTCTGATTTTTATATCCTCTTGCTGAATCAGTCCCTTTACATTACATAATGACTTTTTTTTTTTTTTTTTTTTTTTTTTGAGACGGAGTTTCGCTCTTGTTACCCAGGCTGGAGTGCAATGGCGCGATCTCGGCTCACCGCAATTTCCACCTCCTGGGTTCAGGCAATTCTCCTTCCTCAGCCTCCCGAGCAGCTGGGATTACAGGCACGCACCACCGTGCCCAGCTAATTTTTTGTAATTTTAGTAGAGACGGGGTTTCACCATGTTGACCAAGATGGTCTCGATCTGTTGACCTTGTGATCCACCCGCCTCGGCCTCCCAAAGTGCTGGGATTACAGGCTTGAGCCACCGCGCCCGGCCCCATAATGACTTTTTTATCTCTTCATTTTTTTCTCTACCCCCATGAAAGATTACTACTTTGTTTCTTTTTACAGTTTTTTTCTTTCTTTGTATGGTTATTTTTTAAATTGTGCTTTAAGTTCTGGGGTACATGTGCAGATCTTGCAGGATTGTAGCATAGGTACACACATGCCATGGTGGTTTGCTGCCTCCATCACCCTCGTCGCCTATATCAGGCATTTATTTCTCCCAATATTATCCCTCCCCAACCTCCCTACCTGCCACTGTCCCTCTCCTAGCCTCCCACCCGCAACAGACCCCAGTGTGTGATGTTCCTCTCCCTGTGCCCATGTGTTCTCATTGTTCAACATCTGACTATGAGTGAGAACATGTGGTGTTTGGTTTTCTGTTCTTGTGTCAGTTTGCTGAGAATTATGGTTTCCAGATTCATCCATGTCCCTACAAAGGACATGAACTCATCCTTTTTTATAGCTGCATAGTATTCCATGGTGTATATGTGCCAGATTTTGTCTGGTCTATCACTGATGGGCATTTGGGTTGGTTCCAGGTCTTTGCTATTGTAAACAGTGCCACAGTGAACATATGTGTGCATGTATCTTTAAAATAGAATGATTTATAATCCTTTGGATATATACCCAGTAATGGGATTGCTGGGCCAAATGGAGTTTATATTTCTAGATCCTTGAGGAATCACCATACTGTCTTCCACAATGGTTGAACTAATTTACATGCCTGCCAACAGTGTAAAAGCGTTCCTATTTCTCCACATCCTCTCCAGCATCTGTTGTCTACAGATTTTTTAATGATCACCATTCTAACGGGTGTGAAATGGTATCTCAATGTACTTTTGATTTGTATTTCTCTAACAACCAGTGATAATGAGCATTTTTTCAGGTTTTTTGGCCTCAGAAATGTCTTCTTTTGAAAAGTGCCTGTTATATCCTTTGCCCACTTTTGAGTGGGTTTGTTTTTTTCTTTGTACAGTTTTTTTTACTTAAACTCTAAATAAATGACTTGAACACCATAACAAATTACTAAGGTTATTATTGATGGGTAAGAACTTACTCCTATTTTGTTGTTTTCTGGTTGTTTCATACATCCTCTGCCCTTTGCTTCCTCTCTTTACCATTTTGGTTTCATGCTTTTCTTTGGTGTTAAGCTTTGATTTCTTTCTCTTTCTCATTTGTGTATCTTTTGTAATTTCTTTCTTTGTGGTTATTATGGGGTTAACATAAAATCTTGTTGTTATAATAGACTACTTAAAGGTGAAAACAATTTAGCTTTGGTCACAAAAAATACTCCAGGCTCCCCCCAACCCAGTTTATATTTTTATCATCTTAATTTACATCTTTATTTATTGTGTTACTTTAGCACTGATTGTAGCTATTGGTATTTTTGACCATTTTGACTTTTCAGCTTCATACTAGAGGCTTGAAAGATTTCCATAATACTATTCTAATATTTGAGTATTCTAAGTTTCATTATGAATTTGCCTGTACTAGTGAGTTTTATACTTTCATACGTTTTGTTATGGTAATTACTATGCTCTTGCTTCTAATTGTAGCACAAGAATTTCTTGTAAGGCTGGCCTAGTGGTGATGAATTCCCTCAGCTTTTGCTTATATGGAAAATAATTTTATTTCTTTTTTATTTCTGAAGTATTAGTATAGTATTCTTGGTTACTAGCTTTTTTTTCCTTTTAGCACTTTGAATATATCATCCCATTCTCTTTTGGCCTGCAAAGCTTCTGCTGAGAACTCTGATAATCTAATGGAGAGTGTGTTATACGTAACTTGTCAGTTTTTTTCTAGCTGCCAAAACTAGTATATTAAATAAGGCAAATATAGCCATGTAATTTACAAATTACTGTGACATGTATTTTCTTATTTAATTTTTACCTTTGCTATAGGTATTATTCCTATTTGCAAAAGAGGAAAATGAGGTTCAGAAGATTATACCTTTATGATGGGTACCATATAGGTTTTCAGGGGGCAGGAGACACTATATGATTTTAGATGGAACTTTCTCTTGGACTAACAACAACTAATGCATATTGGGTGCTTTCTATATGCCATGCTTTATAATAGGTGTGTCCTGTGTTTTGTTTGATCTACAAAACAGCTCGAAGAGGTAGTAAATATTACTATTCCCCTCATGCAAATGGAAAGACAATCTTACCGAATGTAAATACCTTGACTATATCACACTTAATTTTGAGGTATAATGGAGCTAGGACTCAGATCCAGATTGGTTTTAATCTGGAAAGCACCTGTTCTTTGTCTGTGTGAACATGATCTTTGGAGGCAGTGCAACTGAGCAGTATCTTAACCCTTCAGAGAAGGAAATTTTCATCTTTGGCTACCTAGTTTGTGTACCCAGCAAAAACCCAGAAAGAAAGAGCAAAAAAGACTCCACTAAAGACTTAAATCCTTCAACCCAAGGGACTCTGATATTTTCCACAGAATCAAAGTTATGCATATCCTATTTGTTGTATCAATTGCTACTGAAGATTTATTTTGCAATGCCCTCCTTCTTTCCAGAAAGGATTTTAGGAAGCTATACGAGCCTATAGGAGATCTCACATAATTCATATGTAGTTTTGTGTCCATAGGAAGGGGAGGCCTCTCCTAAGAAGCCAGCCTCCAAGTAGATAATTTTAAGTTAATTAGGACATTCTGTTGTTCTTATCATACAAAAGGCCCAGGCGCAGTCCCAGTTTGAGACACCTTCCTACTTCTTCAACACAAAAATACTTTGAATAAGAAGAGCAAAATGTTACAAGTTGTTTTGAAAACATTCAAATGGTATAGAAATACATAAAGCAAAAATGAAAGAAAAGATTTTTCTACAATTGGATTTTAGCATCTCAATGCTTCAGGAGATCAAGCATTGAACAAGGTTGATGAGGAGATAATATGAATTTCTCCCCTTCAACCAAGCACCTACTGGATTTCATTGCAATGGAAACAAAGTCCACTTGTTTTTCTCTTTAGCTTTATATAGACTGATCCTCAAAATGCTGAGCAGGTGCCATGGGATTCACCCTCTAGGCAGACATTTTGTTGGTCCCCTTCTAATTGTAGTTTGTTGTGGGGTGTGCTTTCACAATGAATGGTGCAGCAGTTCACCATTATTTTTGGTTCCAGGGTTACCAAAACAGCAGGGATTTGGCCTAGGTCCTGCTGCTCACTACGCAGAAAAACAATAATTGGGACAATAAACATAGCCAGGAAACAAGGCTATAATTGGGTACTCCGGTTAAAGATTTGGGAGATCAGTCTCAAATCCATCTCCTTGACTGACTAAATTTAGGGGTTTATATAGCAGGGAAGAAATGTATGGGAAAACAGGAACTAGTGGGGGGCGTCCACTAGGTGGTGGACGACAAGAAGTTCGTGAGCAACATAACCAGGTTGAGCTCGGGTCCTTTCTGGACCATCACGGTGCGAGACACGATGTCTGACCTGCTGGAGGTGCAGAATGGAGCCTCGGCGCTGGAGATCTCCTACAACGGGGAGCCTCAGTCCTGGTTCCAGAGGCAGCTCTGGGGCACACAGTACCAGCCCATCCTCAGGGACCACATCTGTAAGGACATGAGTGCATTGGTGGCCGCCCGCATGCAGCACATCCCCTTGGCCCCCGGCTCAGACTGGCGAGATCTGCCCAACATCGAAGTGCGGCTCTCGGACGGCACCATGGCCCGGAAGCTGCGGTACACCCACCACAACAGGAAGAACGGTCGCAGCAGCTCCAGGGCCCTCCGTGGGGTCTGCTCCTGTGTGGAAGCAGGCAAAGCCTGCGACCCTGCAGCTAGGCAGTTCAACACCCTCATCCCCTGGTGCCTGCCCCACACTGGGAACCGGCACAACCACTGGGCTGGCCTCTATGGAAGGCTTGAGTGGGACGGCTTCTTCAGCACAACTGTCACCAACCCCGAGCCCATGGGCAAGCAGGGCCGCGTGCTCCACCCCGAGCAACACCGTGTGGTGAGTGTGCGGGAGTGTGCCTGCTCCCAGGGCTTCCCTGACACCTACCGGCTCTTTGGCAATATCCTGGACAAGCACCGGCAGGTGGGCAATGCCGTGCCACCACCCCTGGCCAAAGCCATCGGCTTGGAGATCAAGCTCTGTGTGTTGGCCAAAGCCCGAGAGAGTGCCTCAGCTAAAATAAAGGAGGAGGAAGCTGCTAAGGACTAGTTCTGCCCTCCCTTCACCCATGTTTCTGGCACCAGGAATCCCCAACATGCACCGATGTTGTGTTTTTAACATGTCAATCTGTCCGTTCACATGTGTGGTACATGGTATTTGTGGCCTTGGCTGACATGAAGCTGTTGTGTGAGGTTCGCTTACCAACTAATGATTTAGTGATCAAATTGTGCAGTACTTTGTGCATTCTGGATTTTAAAAGTTTTTTTATTATGCATTATATCAAATCTACCACTGTATGAGTGGAAATTAAGATTTTATGTAGTTTTTATATGTTGTAATATTTCTTCAAATAAATCTCTCCTATAAACCAAAATAAATAAATAAATAAATAAATAAATAAAATAAAAAATAAAAAAAGGAAGCGGTCATGATGAATGAGGGGTCTGGCATCTCATTGTCTGGTTACAATGATCTGGTGAGTTTTAGTTTTTTGATACTTTTTGAGAGGCTGGGAGTCCTTTCCTGAGGAAGGAACTCAGATAAAACAAATGTAAGTTTCAAGCCTTAAGACCCAAAGGATCAATTTCTATATATTTCCAAGAAAAAAACTGCCTGTGGGGCTATTGGGTTGATTTCATCAGCATGGTTCTTTTTTGTTTTGAAGAAGTTACTTGTGTATGAAATAGAGTCAAATGTTACAACATTATTCAGAAATGCAAAGTTCTCAGCATTTATGAATTTTAGTTTTTTCGAAACAGCTTTAAGATGTGATTCATATTGCATATAATTAACATAACATATATTCATCTACCTAAAGTATATAATTCGATGGTTTTTAGTATACTCATAGAGTTTGCAACCATCACCATAATCTATTGTAGAATATTTTTATCTGAGAAGAAATCCTGTATTCTTTAGTTATCACTCTTTCATCTTACCATTTCCTCTCTTGCTCCCAGCCTTAGGGAACTACTAATCTAGTTTCTGTCTCAATATATTTGCCGATTATGGACATATAATATGAATGAAACTTTCCAACATGTGGACTTGGCTATTTGTGAGTAGGCAGTATGCCCTGGTGGCTAAGTGCAAGGGACAGATTTGGTTTTGACTCCTTGCTTTCCTGCCTACTACCTGTGCAGCCATGGGCAGAACCCAATCTAATTTAAAGATTTTTTGCTTGCCAGATAACGTTTTTATTAAAAATTTCCTTTCTTTAAAAATGTTTTAATTTTGAAATAATTTCAAACTTATGGAAAAGTTGCAAGAATAGTGCAAAAAATCCTTGTCTACATCACCCCATATGTTCCAGTTGTTAATAATACTTACATTTACTTTGTCATTTTCTCTCTCTCTCTCTGTGTCTGTGTGTTTATATATTTTTCAAACCATTTGAAAGTAAATTGCAGAATTTTCTTTACCTCTATATATGTTAGTGTGTATTTCTGAAAAATATACTTTTTTGGGTATGTAACTACAGAAAAGTTACCAACATTAGGAAATTAATATTGATATAATACTATTATCTCATTAAATTTTGTCAATTGTCCCAATAATGTTGAGGATCACCTGCTAGCTTTAGTGGTATTTAATCTATGACAATTTCTCAGGCATTCTTTGCTTTTGTGACCTTGACATTCTGAAGAGAATTTACCACTTATTTTATAGAATGCCTGTGAATTTGGCTTTATCTAATGTTTCCTTATTATTAGATTAGGTTATGCATTTTTTGGCATTAAATGATTCTTAGCCCTTCCATATAAGTCCATTTGTCCCATGACTGTTGATAACTCTGATCACTTGTTCAAGATGGTATCTGCCACGTTTCTCCACTATAAAACTACCATTTTTTTTCTTTTGCAATGATTGTCTTGTGGAGAGATACTTTGAGAACATTTACAGAAATGTCCTGTTCTCATCAAGATTTCGCCCACGAGTTTTAGCATCCATTGACAATTTGTGCCAATCAATTATTACTCTAATGGTTGCCACATGTTGATTTTATAATTTCTATTATTCTTTCTAGATTTATTATTTGCTTTCTAATGTAAAATAGATCTTTTCCATTATAACCGTTATTATGTCATTATTTATTTTTGCTGAAATTATTCCAGATTTGGCCAGTGATGTCTTCTCAGTTTGGGTCCTGTGTTGTTTTGCCATGTTGCTGTTATTCCTTAAGCATTTTCTTGCTTTCTGGTGCAATAAGACATTTAGACTTATTTTAGACTGTTCCATCTCTGGAACCAGCCATTTCTCCAAAGATTCTTTTCTGTGGAGAAACAATTTAGAAAACGGCGCTGTGAGTAGTAGGAGCATTCATTGTCATTGAGCTGTCATATCTTCTAGTGCCCTCTTCTTGCATAAAGCTAGGAAATATATGTATCTCCGTATATATATGCCTCCATATCATTTCTATATCTTTCTATCTACCTATATGCGAAGTCATAATTACTCCAATTCCATTCCAGTGCCACTAGTTCATTTTGTACTTGTACCTCCTTTTTTGGACAGTGAGAAACCTAGCTTCCTTTATTTGCATTCTACTTATTTATTTATTCAAATTTGCTTTTTTCTCCCCCATAAGTGATATCTTTTGAGGACTGCCACCTACACTCATACATACTCTTAATGTCCCTCCCTGTGACCACTGTTCTAATCTTTCAGATCTCTTTCAGGATTGATGCCTTTAGTGTATATTTGCTCTTTCTGGGGGTGAGTTATATCAGTCTCAGGCTCTCTGCTAGCTCCAGCTTTCTGTTCATTTTTTCTAGTCAGCTCTTTCTCTCTACTAGGGCTTACATGAAGTTGAGTGACAATTCCTTGGGATTTGGGGTTGCTTTTTCTATGCATAGGTAATTTGAGGTTTGGTTATTTTTTATCTTCTATTTGCTGAAGGTGCAGGTTTTGAATAGTTGCATTTGTATTTTGTTTTTATTCCATATTGCTTTTGGAGGAAATTTAGAAAGATGTGGATTTAGGGGGCTATCTTCATCATGAACTATCTGGAAACTCTTCTAAATAAGAATTCTTATTTTGTGACGATTAAGTGATATAACCTATGTGGAGTATTAAGTTTGTGTGTCTCTCAGAGAGAGAGTGAGAGTAAAAAAATTGAATATGGTTAACTATGTAACAGAAAAAGCCAAGTACCTGGCACATAGAGTTAGTAATGATAGCAAAACAAATCTAATGTGAGTTTTCTAGCAAAAATTTCTATACTTATTTTAATTTTTATAAAAAGTAATATATATAATATAGTGCATATATAATGTTTATGTGTGTGTGTATATACACACGCACACATGTATATATATAGTTTTTTTTCTTTCTTTCTTTTTTTTTTTTGAGACGGAGTTTCGCTCTTGTTACCCAGGCTGGAGTGCAATGGCGCGACCTCAGCTCACCGCAACCTCCGCCTCCTGGGTTCAGGCAATTCTCCTGCCTCAGCCTCCTGAGTAGCTGGGATTACAGGCACGCGCCACCATGCCCAGCTAATGTTTTGTATTTTTAGTAGAGACGGGGTTTCACCATGTTGACCAGGATGGTCTCGATCACTTGACCTCGTGATCCACCCGCCTCGGCCTCCCAATGTGCTGGGATTACAGGCTTGAGCCACCGTGCTCGGCCATATATAGTTTTAAAATAACTACAAACCTACAAAAAAACAGCCATCTCTGGATCTACCATTTCCTATCCCAAATCCACTGCTCAGAGGAAACCCCTTTCTACTTCTAGTTGTTTTTTCTGTGATTTACCTTTTTATTTGCTGGCAATATGCTTACATTTCTTCATTTATCAAGGTTAGATAATATCAGTATTTTGTTAAATTAGTAATCAGTGTTTACTGTATTATTGTGCTAAGGGTCCCCAACATCACATCTAGGTTTGATGATTCATTAGAATTCACAGGACTCAGTTTATAGTTGTAGTTAAGTGTCTTAGTCTGTTTTTGTTCCCATAACAAAATATAGGAGACTAGATAATTAGTAATGAACAGAAATTGATTGTATTATGATTCTGGAGATTGGAAAGTCCAAGATCAAAGGGCTGGTATCTTCTGAGGGCCTTCATGCTATGTCATCCCATGGCAGAAGGTGGGAGGGCAAGAGAGAGTAAGAGAGTGTGAGAGAATGCATTCATAAGAGGGGCTGAACTCATACTTCATTTAAAAAAAAAAAACCTACTCCTAAGATAAGAAAGTGACTCTTTGGATAATGGCATGAATACATTTATCAGTGCAGAGTCTTCATGATCTAATCACCTCTTCAAGGTCTCACCTCGAAACACTGTTACACTAGGAATTAAGTTTCTAACACTTGAACCTTGGGGGACACATTGAAATGGTATCATCATGGCTTAGATTATTATTATTTTTTTAACAGCAAAAGGATACAGAGTAAGATCAACAGCAGTAAAAGCATATGGGTAAAGTCTACAGGAAATAGGAGCAAGCTCCCAGAGTCTTCTCCTAGTGGAGTCATACAGTATACATGTAATTTCTCCAGCGAGTTGTGACAAAAAGTGACGTATATTGTCACACAGAGAAGCTCAGTAGAGAATCAGTGCCCATAATTTTAATTTATTTTTTAATTGATGGCTTGTCACTTAGGCACTCTCTGTTTGGTGTATACAAAATTCTATACTGCTAAAAGAAAAACAGGTGCTCAGCACAAGCACATTGTTTGCACAGACAGTTTAGGTACAGTAAATCACTTATCCTGAAATGATGCCAGCCAAGGGCAAAGGAGTCAACCTTGTAAGCAAAGCTTTTTAAAGCATAGCGGTCAGGCTTGCTATGCGGATTTTTTTTCTGTACAATGGTTTTTATAAAGATTTTTCATACCTGTGTCAAGCAACCTGATTACATCCAAGTAATATGATTACATCTGCTTTCTTGTGTGACTTTTTGTTTCCCTTACAGTTAATAATTGCTTTGTTTAGGTTATTGTTGTTGTGTACTTGATTAGTTTTTTGAATAACTATTACTAATTCCCTAAAACTCCAGCAGTATTACACAAGAGGTAAAATACTTGAAAGATAAGTTGGGTTGGGGGTCATATTATAAAACATCCCATATGTCATGTGTTATGGACTGAGTGTTTGTGTTCTCCCAAATTTGTATGTTAAAATCCTAACCCTCGATGTAATGGTATTGGGAAGTAGGGCCTTTGGGAAGTAATTGGGTCATGACAGCAGAGCCTTTATGATTAGGATTAGTGTCCTTAAAAGAAGAAACACTTGAAAGCTTGCTTCTTTTTCTGATCTCAATCGTATGAGAATATAACAAGAAGACAGCCATCTGCAAACCAGGGCTAGATCCTTCACAGATACAGATCTACTGGCTCCTGGATCTCAGACTTACAGACTCCA